AAAAAAAATTGATGAATTTTTTTTTGTTGTTGATGAAGATGATGAAGATGATGTTGAAGATGATGAAGATGATGATGTTAAAGATGATGGAGATGATCCGGATCTACAGAGGAATTTTTTTTTTTTTGTTGATGAAGATTATGATGTTGAAGATGGGAGTTTGATCCAGATGTTGAATTAAAAATGGGAGTTTAATTGCAATTCTAAAGATGATGATGATGTTCAAAATCTGAAGTTGTTGAAAAAAAAATTTGATCTGGATCTGGATAAAAAAAAAAAATTTGTTCAATGGATCTAGATCTGCATCAGATTTTGAACAAAAAAAATTTGTACAACAGCTTTAGATTTTGATCAAAAAAAATCTGATTTGAGTCTGCAGATTTTGAACAAAAAAATTTGTACAAAAAAAAAATTGATGTTGATGAAAATGGATCTGGATCTGCATCAGATTTTGAACAAAAAATTCATGTTCAAATTCGGAGGTTGATCTCTCTCTCTCTCTCTCCCCTCTCCTCCTCTTCTTTCTTCTTCTTTCTTCTTCGTCTTAGTTTCAGTCTAGAGAGAAGGGAAAAAAAGAAATTTTTTTTTAAAAAAAAATAGCAAAACGACGTCGTTTTGATGTCGAGCCAAATTCGAGCCTCCAAATTTCGAGCTACGAATCAGAACTGTCACATTATTGTTATAGTGATGTGACATTTCTTTATTGAAATGCCACTAGAATCTTTTATGTTTGTAGCTCTGTGATATTTTTCTAAAATGTGTCACCAAATATTATTTTTGTAGCATTTTCTAAAAATATGCCACTGGTATAGTGCCACTAAACTATATTTTTAGTCTTGTGGTATTTTAAACAAGTGTTATTTATACCTATGCCACGGTAGATACTAGTGGCACTTCAGTGATACTTGCAAGTGCCACTACACCATCATGGCTAAAAACTTTCACTGATACTTTGATGTCATGATAGACAACTATTTGTGACACTATCAAACGTAAAAAAAGATTTAGTAGCACTTCAATGACATTTGTAAATGCCATTACACCATCAGAGCTAGAGACTTTTAGTAATACTTTAATATCATGGTAGATACTATTCGTGACGCTATCAAGTGTCATTAAAGAAGACTTACAATCTAAAAAATACCACTATATGGATTTTTAATGGTACTTATTATGCCCCAATTGATATTTTGAATAACTTCATAAATGCCACTAAATCCAATTCATTTGTGTCATTAAATGGATATACGTGCTATTGGAGTTTATTTTAGTGACACTTTGCAAAGCTACTACCAATACTTCAAAATGCCACTTATATGTTCTTTTCATTAACACTTTTAAAAGCCACAAGTAAGCATGTGTACATGCCTGTAAAAATTGAATCGATTTTATAAACAATTGAATATTAATTGTCATATCCTATATTAATTTGACATCCATTCATCTTGTAATATTTTTTTGATGATAAACAAATATTACCACCATAGGATCATCACATCAAAAACAAAAAAAAATTCAAACCACAATTATTTTTTTTATCTAAAAATACAAATTTATTTATTTTGCAATAAAAATCATAATCAAAATTATAAAATAGTATACCACACTAACAAAGTTAAAGTAAAAAAAAATTTAAAAGAAAATTATTCCAACCATAAGTTCTGAAAACCGCGGTGATATCCATCTTCCGGAGAGACAAATTATCAAAACAAATTCAGTTTCTAAATTTTTCAACTTTACTTGTATAAATATTCTCGGCTAGCATCCATAACTTGTGAAATCTGTATCCAAAAGATAAACATATAAAGATAATTGAAATTATATTAAATTAATATAAATTTGTTAATGAAATTAGTATTACGAAAGAAATATACCACAAATGAAACAGACAAAGCAACATGAGCTCCAATAGTTTGTCCAATTGTGTTTGACAAGTCCATATGATTGGATCAAGCTCTCATTATGCTTTTAAATACTCCGATTGTAACTGTTTCTGTTAGCCTAATGATTTTTTTTAGAGCAACTATATCTCCTACCTGTAAATCAAGATTTAACTACTTAAGTAATTATATATTTACAATTAATAAATAATATTTTAAAAATAAATTAGTACAAAGTGTCAGAGTGAAGATGATCACAACTGAAAGTGATATGCATTTCTCTAGTAGACAAGCAAGCCACATGATTTAATTATTTAATTGGTTCACCACACTACAATAAATTTATTTTTAAAAAAATCAATGTTTGATTCAATTGCATTTAGGATAATATTATTTTAACCCTTTTTATTCACACGTTATATAAAAATTAAATCCAAGGCACAATTTTTTTCTCAATAAATTTCCAAGTACAAATACAAAGTTCTATGTATTAATTAATCCAAGTATGACTATAACCAAGTCCACGTATCTAAGGTATATGGGTCAGGGAGATTATGTGGTTGTGTGTTCATTCAATAATGTATTGTCCTTTTTCTATCATTTTTTTATTTATTTTAGGCCTAGATAACTATTAGATCTCTTACTATTAATTAGACACACTGTCAATATGAAATTTCAAAAGCGTGAATAATTACTCTAAAATGAGGCTCTATCTATCTAAAAACAAATCCAAATGATATACTGTCTATTTCCCACAAAGTAGGGGTTGGTTCTTCTTTACTTTCTATTTTCTATTTTTAATTTTTTTTTTTATATTTTATTTTTTTTAAGATACGCAATAGAGTGCATCAAAGTGGGGGTTATTATGGTAAAAAGATAAGGTTGATGTTGTTCTATGGGTCTTTTTCACAACATTAACAACTTCTAAACGGCCCATGTCGAGCCAACATAGTTCAATTGACTAAACAAAGACCCATTTTGAGCTGAGCTATCATCACATACCATTTTGTTTTTTAGTTTTCGTTTCTATATGGAGGACAGGGACCCCAAATTCCACCTATGTGAAATGGTGTAACATTGTTAATCACCAGTTCATTTAAAAAATTAAAATATTAAAAGAGAAAAATAATTTTATTGTTTTTGTACTCAACAAGTTCCTCCACATGTGATCAAAGTATTTTTCACAAGTAGATAAAAAAAATATTTATTTTTATTTTTATTCATAATCTATGATTATTTATTTATTTATTTTAAAATATGAATGTCCATGATGAATTGATTGATTTACTCATTTGTAACCAATATTAGGAGCTCTCTAGCTTTCATAAAATGCTGATAATGTTTGGTTTGATTTTTAAAAAAATGTTTTTAGATGAGTTTTTGTTTATTGTTAATAATTTTTTTAAAATATTTTTTAAATACACCTAATCAAGATAGTAAAACAAATTCACTTATCTGTGCTTACAAGACATCTATCTTGAAGGTGTGAGGCTTTATCTCGGTTTGGCCATCTCGCTCAACGTGGCCATGAATTATTGGGTTGGTTTCAGTCCACCAATGTGGCTCAGGTGTTTAGGGAGAGAAATTATGATTGCACATTACACGAGTAGGTTAGTATAAAAAAATATTAGAAATTATAAAAGTGTTATCAAAATTTTTATCAAATGTCTTATATGAGTATGGGATATGAGACATTTGGTAGAAATTTTAATAGAACTTTTAGAATCTCTACTATTAGCATTTGATTCTATTGGATCACGTATTTAAATGGGGACTTGGGGTCACTGCTGTTGTGCTTCATTTTGTAATGCATTATGGATTTATTTTTATAATCTGAACCGTTCATGTTGTAGGGTTTATTCAGTACTTCATGCCTACCAAAAATCATATCAATCGGATATCAATAACTATATGATTGATAACCAAAAAAATAAACAAGAAGTTTTTCTTTTGAAAAATAGTATAAAAATATGCAATTCGATCATATAGTTATTAAAAATGTTATAGATTTTAAAAGTTTTATTAAATTTTTTATCAAATGTCTTATATGGGCGTAGGATTTACATCATGTGGGTTCATATTCATGTGAAATATTTGTTAGAAATTTTAATAGAACTTTTAGAATCTCTACTATTACTCGGTTAGCATTTGATTCTATTGGATCATGTATTTAAATGGGGACTTGGGGTCACTGTTGTTGTGTTTCATTTTGTAATGCATTATGGATTTATTTTTATAATCTGAACCGTTGATGTTGTAGGGTTTGTTTAGTACTTCATTTATACCAAAAATCATATTAATCGGATATCAATAACTATATTATTGATAACCAAAAAAATAAACAAGAAGTTTTTCTTTTGAAAAATAGTATAAAAATATGCAATTCGATCATATAGTTATTGATATCCGATTAATATGATTTTTGGCAGGCATTAAGTACTCAACAAATCTTACAAAATTAACGGTTCAGATCATAAAAATAAGCACATAATGCATCTCAAAATGAGGCACAACAGCAGTGTCCCCAATTCCTTTAAATGGAGGTTGTTCCAGCAATGTTGGCCCCTTTAATTTTGTCTGAAGCTGTTCTTGATTAATATATTCTTTCAACCTTCTTTAAAAAAATAAATAAAGTACAACAAATTACCAGAAATACTTTAAAAAAATAATAAAAAATTCAAACAAAAAATCTATGTGTATTTTTGTTCGAATTTTCATTTATTTTTAGTAAATTTTTTTTTTCATATTTTAGTTCAGTTTTTTATTTATTTATTTAAGATACATCTAATCTTGATGTATCTATAAAATAAAAAAAAATTAACTAAAATATAAAAAAAAACGAAAACTGATTTAAAAATAATTTCTAAGAATTATAACCAATGATATTATTTTTTTCTTTTTCAAAATGGGTAATCAATAAGAAATATAACCTACAAATATTACAAGAATTATACCAACCAGAATATAAAAAATGAACGCCATCATTTGAAAATATACTATTTTAATAACTTTTTAACTTTTTACAAAAATATATGTAAAAAAATAAAAAAAATAATGTGATAATTTATAATAATTTATTAACTTTTTAACTAAAATATTTAGTCCAAAAGAAATTGTTCCTTGATCATCAATAAGCATCAAAATTAATTGGCTAAAAATAACACCCCAAAAAAAATGAGGAGTATAAAATATGATCCTTTCACAAACCTTACAATAATTTCTATTCAATTCCATCTATATTCAAAGTTTCTATACCAAGCCCAAACCTTTATCTTTCAAAACCCTACCAAAAAAAATAAAAAATAAAAAATAAAAAATAAAAATATGTATGAAATTTTCTATTGCACCAACCAACCCATATTCAATACTTTCAATGGGCACCACGCTTAATCATCTCCTTATACTGATTCAACGACTCTTGTCTCTGCAACCTCATCTCCTCATTGAACTTCTTTATGAACGCTTCGACTCGGCGGTTCAACTCGTCTTGACTCAGTGACGGTTCTTTCCGGATCTTCCCTGAACCGGGCGAAGAGGTATTCGACGACGGTGGATCGTAGTTCGTGCGGTCTCTGAACGTCTCACATTTCTTCACGTTCATCGGAGACAGGTCTTGTGGAGTCGTGGTAGTACTGAATTGACGGCCGTGATTCTCCCACGAGTCCGACTTCTTCAGGTGCCTATTCAACGGCATGTGACGGCCGTCCGTTATCATTTTCCAGGTGTTCTCCAACGTCTCGTGTCGCTTCGGCTTCACCACCCTTAACGCCCGTCCACCTGAAAAAATCGCCACCACCAAAATGTCCAAATTCCTGATATGACCTTACAACAGAAAATCTTATAATAAAACCAAAATTTTTTGAAAAAATTCTATTTGAAACCATAATTTTTTGAAAAAATTCATTTTCACTATTAATAATATTTTTTTTTAAAACCCGAATTGTTGACATGATTTTTCCTAGTTAGTTCTATATTATACCAGAGAACACAGGTACTAGTAAAGCTCATTTTGGCAGCCCAAAAAAAAAAAAAATTGAGTTCTTTTTCTAAATTTTTTATCTTTAGTGATTTTTTTTTTAAAAAAGCATATATTCTTTTTGAAAAATTTTAGAAAAAAATATTGAAGACAAATTTATTTTAAATCTTTTTTAAAAAAATTGTAATTTTTCGGTTTATCCTGTATTTTTTCAAAAAAACACTTTCACAAAAAAAATTGTAATTGAATTTTTCGGTTTATCTTGTATAGTTGAATTTAAAAACTTAAATTTTTTGAAAAATTTAAAAAAATTCATTAAAGACGAAAATAAATTTCAAAAAAAAAAAAAATACACTTTCCAAAATACCCCTAAATACTCGAGTGTTTATGATTTGGTTTGATTCCAAATCAAATTCATAATTATAAATATATTAGACCATGGAGTACAATTTCTTTAAAGTTAAGATCAAATCATAATTTTTTAAAAAAATTAAAACAAGCTATATAATTTAATCTAAATTGAATTAATTTGCAATTTTTTAATTTTTTAATATTTTTTTTGGCATGTTGAAAAATGCAGTCAAAGTAAGGCCCGAAGGCCTTAAAAGATCCACAGGTACAGGGGCAATTCAGACTTTTTAAAAGTACTCTTCTTGGGAGTACATCGAACGACATCGACGATCAAACGACGCCGTTACCATCATCATCATCACAGCACAAATGTGAAACGCTCCAGCGTCACGTGGGCGGAGAGCCCGAAGCTGCGCCGACGGGAATCTCTCACAACCGCCCAAAGATCTCCGGCGGTCAACTTTGAGCAATGAAATCTAACGCTCACGATTTTATTATTATATATATTATTAAAAAATAATTAATAAAAATAAATATTCTACAGATTATTATTACATACCTTCAGGACTGGCTTTTATAGGTTTCCGGTGACCGAACCTCGCAGAAACCAGTGGTTTTTCCGGCGACGGAAACATATACTCCGTTTGAATTTCCGGCGACTTTATCCTCTGCGGCGGCTTCCACGTGTTCCCCGAGATCACGAACGCATCTTCTTCATCTTCATCCACAGCATCCGGACCGTTCATCACCACAGTCTTCTCCTCCGCAACCATAGCTTCGCTCTCGTGCTTCCACGTGTTCCTCGAGATCACGAACGCATCTTCTTCATCTTCATCCACAGCATCCGGACCGTTCATCACCACAGTCTTCTCCTCCGCAACCATAGCTTCGCTCTCGTACACCACCGGCGATGAAACCAACGGTGGATCTGGCGTTGATAAAACCAACGGCTCTGATTCATTTCTATCGTCGAGTTTGTGGAGGAATCGAGAAGAAGCAGCGATGGTGATGATGATTCCATTGAGGACGAAGTAGAGATAAGGAGGCCTTAACCACGCCATCAAAGAGGACCAAATCACAGGGATTTCATAGAGCACGAAATCAATCATCAATGGAACAGAGAACTTCAACATCATAGCGATCGATACAACTCCAGTTGAAATCAACAGGACTTTCAGAGAGAGAATCCAAGTACTCGAAACCGCCATTTCTGATCTGATTTCGGTTCTGAATCTTACCTTTGGGAGAGCCTTTGAAGTGAATATGTATGTGCGTGTGTGCGCTTTGTGAGTTCAAGGTGAAGATGCGAAGTTACATATATACACACACACACTTGTGGGTGGCATACATTCGCGTAATTTAAATAAGTTTAAAAATAAATAATAAAAAAAATTAATATTATAGTATATATATATATATATATGTTATTTAAATGTAAAAATTGTATTTAATGAAACTTAAGGTGTTGAGTTTAAATCTTAATTATATTTTTAAATAATTTTTTATATTTTAAGATAAAAAGATTTATTCATTAAAAAAAAATCATCATATTTTAAATATTAAATTATGTGTTTACATATACAATAATATCAATAATGATTCAGACCACTAATTAAGATGCTCTAATGGAGTACTAATGACATGACAATAAATAAAAAAAATAAAATAAAAATAAATCAAGATTAAAACATCACATCAGCATGGGTGGAGTCCACTACCAACTTATTAAAATTACCTTTAAAACTAAAAAATTAGAGTTATAAAGTATTTTTTTAAAAATATAAATATAACAGAGAGAGTGGAGAAGGCGGTATGGAGGTTGTGATGACATGTGGACCGTCTAACGTAAAAGGAGAGTGTGCTGGGAACTTTCTGGGTCACTTTGTAAGTTGTTGTAGTGTGCATATCTAGTGATGGCCCACATTTCAATTTCAAACAGTAACATTTTATTTTTGTGAATGAAAAAAAGTAAGATATATTAATTAGGAATAAGGTCGTGTATGTTGGTTAACCTACCATTTTAAGGCAATTGAAAACCTTATATATATATATATATTTGATTTTTTGAATTTATCAAAAATGAGTTATGCTAGGGATCCTAAACAAATTACTAAATTTTTTATCAAATCTCTCACATGGGTGTGGGACCCACACACATTTGATTTGTGTGGATCCCACACCCATGTGAAAAGTTTGATAAAAAATTTGATAATTTGTTTGGAGTCCATAGCATTTTCCAATCAAAATATCCTTTCTCTAGCATGTAGAAGTGTTTGATTGATTCATGATAGGTGAGATTTAATGTTCTTTTATTAAGGGTTGATTTGATATAAATTAAATAATATAAAAAATTAAAAAGTTATATAGTCACTATCTTATTTAAGTCACACATCAAATCCAATCCAAATCCAACTCATATAAGTCAATAAGTCAAAAAATACACTTTTTTAGAACATCCCAAACCAACCCTAAATATTAATTTTATTTCTTGTGTGAAAACAAAAAAAAAATATGAGTAATGTTATGTTTTATAAAATAAATATAAAAAAAAATTCATAAAAATTCTTTACTCTTCAAGGTATTTTGATATTTTTTTCTTATGAGGCGTAGCATTACTAAAAAATAATTTATGCTTATAATTCAGAAGATGGTGTTGGTATTTTAGGACTCAATTTTTTTATTTATTATTTTTAAAGAACTATTTATAGCTTTTGCCTTCTAGTTTCTAACTTTCTCTTTATTGTTATTATTACCATTATTATTTTCGAACTATTTTAAACAACTTAGTCTATATCATGGATTAAGATCGACTCAAATTTGTATGGAATCCCAAATGAAAGCTAATTGGCGTTACGTATTTAGTGCATTTCCAATTGTAAAGCTAGTTGGCATTAAGTATTGAATAATGTTATATGCACTAATTAGCACATCAATTAATGTACCAATTGATAATGTGAAATAATTTAAGAAAGTTTTGGTATTTATAATTTAATTAATGAGTTGGGTCAATAATAATATCATAACTAGTGTTGGTACTTTAGTTAGTACGTTAATTGATATAGGTAGCACCACCATTATGTATTAGGACTTAATTATGAAAAATGCTTTGAAACTTTAATTCTTGAGCTCTAAAGCTAGCTCTAATGAGCTGGCAAGGAGTTCCACCCATTATGATGTGATGTTTTGGTCTTGGTTTATTTGTTTGTTTGTTTTTTTATTTTTTTCCTCCTTACCATATCATTAGTGCTCCATTAAAATATTAAAATTAGTGCTCCAAATCAATGGTGCTCAATTATAAGTCTTGGCACAAATTTTAATTCAAATATTGCATTCTAATCACTCTGTTTGTTTTTAATTTTTAGAAAATTTCACTTTTTAGAAAATTTCACTTTTTTGTTTTTCATAATTTTTGTTTTCACTGAATTTTTTTAATATTTTAAATAATTTTTTTTTAATTTTTAGACATAAAATATTTTTTCACTGAAAAAAATATTTCACTGAAAAAAATATTTAAAAATTTACTAAATATAAACAATATGAAAATTCAATACATTTTTTGTATTTTTGTGTATTTATTAATTTTTTAAAATATTTTTTCACATATAATTTACTAGTTAGATACATCTAAGTAAGATACATCTAAAAAAGTAAAAAAATTACTTAAAATTTAAAAAATATTCACTAAAAATAAAAAATAAAAAAAATTCGAATTTCAAAAAATTGAAACCAAATATAGTAAATAGTATCTTACTTAACAATACGTAAGGGTATAATTGTCATACAAGGATAGATGTTTAATCGTATAATAAGTATATCAAGAGATTAAAATATTAAATATATAATTAAATATGTTGAGGGGGACATAAACTTTCGTAAAGAGAAATCAATGCTTCAATTAATATAGAAATAAGGGTTGCTGCGTTGAGTGAGGTGTCAGAAATATTTGAATTTTTGAGTCAACAACCCGCAACGGTAACATAATTGACCGTTAGCAGTGGAGGCTGTCTGGGGATCCTGAAGCGGAGGTCCAGTGGGGTGGGGTTTAAGGCTCGAGCCACTCACGTGCCCAACACCTTTGTGGTTGCACCACCCAACCGACCAAATAGTTTCTTCTTTTTTATTTATTTATTTATTTTTATGAAGTGATTTTAATAAAGTATATCTTCTTTAATTAAAAAAAAAATAAAAAGTTTATGTCCCACGGTTAAGAAAAGTATAAATGGTGCCTAGAGCCTGCCATGCCTGTACCTACAAAAAAAAAAAAAAAAAAAAAAAAAAAAAACAACAATGATTCATCCCCCTTTTCCCCCCACCCCCTTTGACCCCCTCTCTCTCTCATTGGTTACATTTTCTTTTTCTTTTTCTTTTTTTTCCTACTCCTCTAATCACCACCCGCCATGTGGCAAAGGGGGTGAGGGGGTGACCCCAAAAGGGGGTCCCAAGCATTATTCAAAAACTAAAAAGCCAATTCATACCAAAAAGTCAACTATTCCCTTTTTTTTTTACCTTTTGCACATCTGTTCGTAAAAAGTTAAAAACTCATTCCAAATATACTAATTTTTTTTACATCACATTTTAACCAAAAAGTTACTAAAAAAACTTATTCCCAAACGAGGCCTTATTACCAATGTTATCCATTGACTTTTTTTATCTATTTGTCTTTTCATTGACTATTTGTTCAAATAATTTTCTATCTGTTTAAATTTTTTATCTATCTGTTCAAATTTTTTTGTTAATATTTAACCAAAGGTATTATATATATATATATATATATTGTCAATCGAGAGAAGAGTAATTATAAATATGAAAAATATTACATTATCAAATAGATTACTAATTCACAATAACTAGATAGTTTCCTATATAACAAGAGAGAAATAAACACCACCATAATAGATATCAAACTCTTCTTTATAGAAATTGAACTTGAAATCTCACACCACAAAATTACCTGGCTAAATGCCCAGATTCAAAGGTATTATGAATCATAACTCTTGTTTTGGATGACTTTAATTTGTTGGATTATGCCCACTGCCCAAATTATTTTCACAACACAGATGTTATTTTTATAACACATAAATGTGATTGTGAAATTTTCATAACTCTTGTTTTGGATGACTTTAATTTGTTGGATTATGCCCACTGCCCAAGTTGTTCGTTGGATGTACAATTGTTTTTAATTATGCCCACTGTCCAGGTTATTTTCATAACAGATAGATGTGATTGTGAATATTGCATAGCTCATGTTGTGTTTTTAAGAAAGTACACAATTGAATTATATTAAAAATTTTAAATTTGTAAAATTTTTAACTGCTAAATCGATTCGTATTTATCCGTCAATCTGCATCCGCCGGATTAGCGGATGGATGCGGATTGATTTTTTTCAATCTGCCAATCTAGCGGATGGATGCGGATTGATTTTTTTCAATCTGCCAATCTAGCGGACGGATGACGGATTATAAGTTTCGTAATCGCAACCGATTTGCGCCCACCCCTAATTATGATGTGTAGTAGTCATTTTTTAAAATATAAGTAATAAAAAAATTTGTAATTGTAAAAAATTCAGATTTTTTTTATTTATAAAAATGGAAATTGATTTCAAAAAAATAAATATTATAAATTTATTTTTAATTTAAAAAATATATATTTATGGGTTCTCAAAATATAAAATAATATGAAAATGATAAGTGTTTTTAAATTTTTTTTACTTTTTCACCAAATTAATTTTTAATTTACTAAAAAAAACTTTGAAATAAATTGTTGAAAACCAAATCAAACAACAATGTTTGTTAGTTCTCATCATTATAGTGATGGAATACCGAGAGAGAAAATCCGTATGCCTTTTTTTTAATTGTTGTATAAAATTGTTAATTTCACCATAATTTTAGTTACATTCACAGTTCTTCTCTCATATCTCATGTGAGTATGGAAACTGCGAAATGAGTTGTATTTGGTTGAATTTTCAAAAAGTATTCAATGAAATTATTTTTTTTAAAAAAAATTAGAAAGTAGTTTGATAAAAATAAATCCAAGATATTTTTGAAATTTTTTTACCAACTAGTTTTTGAAAAGATTTTAGAAAAACTGAAAACTCAACTAATATCAGTATTGAATTTAACAACAGCAAAGCAATGCTATAAAAATAATATTTTAAAAATATAAAATGTGCAAATCAAATTTATTATTTTGAATGTGCCCCTATCATAACACACCACACCAAATTAATTTTACCCAATATATATTCAAATTCAAAGTCATTTCTATGGGTACATTTCATTTATTTCAAACAATGTAATGTATCCAAAACAAAAAGGAAAAAGATTCGA